CGATATTGGGGGATTTGGGATCGATATCAGATTAATATTGAGTCAATATTGGAAATTTGGGATCGATATTGGGGGATTTGGGATCGATATCAGATCAATATCGAGATTTGGGATCGATATCGGATCAATATTAAGGTTTGGGATCGATACCGGATCAATATTAAGGTTTGGGATCGATACCGGATCAATATTGGGGGTTTTGGGGTCAATATCGGAGATTTGGGATCAATATCGGGGAATTTGGGATCAATATTGGGGATTTTGGGGCCGTTTTTTGGGGTGAATTTTTGGGATTTTGGGGCCGTTCGGGATCAGAATTTCCGGGGGGATTTTGGCCAATCCCGGGTCATTTTTTGGGGTGAATTTTTGGGATTTTGGGGCAGTTTGGATTCAGAATTTTCGGGGGTTTTCGGGGTGGTTTGGGGCCGTTTTTTGGGGTGATTTTGGGCGATTTTGGGGCAGTCTGGATTCAGGATTTCTGGGGCTTTTTGGGGGGGTTTTGAGCTGTTTTTTGGGGTGATTTTGGGTCCGTTTTGGGTGATTTTGGGACTGTTCGGAATCAGAATTTCCGGGGGTTTTTGGGGGGGTTTTGGGCCGTTTTTTGGGGTGAATTTGGGGGATTTTGGGGCCATTTTTGGGGTGATTTTTAGCGATTTTGGGGCAGTTTGGATTCAGCATTTCCAGAGGGGTTTTGGAGGACCCCGGGTCATTTTTTGCGGCAAATTTGGGTAATTTTGGGTCCGTTTTGGGTGATTTTGGGGCCGTTTGGGATCAGAATTTCCGGGGGGATTTTGGCCGATCCCGGGTCATTTTTTGGGGTGAATTCGGGCGATTTTGGCTCACCTGGCCTGGATGGGCAGCAGCTGGTGCTGCACCCACAGGGGTTTGGGGCCATTTTGGGTCCATTTTTGGGTCAGTTTTGGGCGATTTTGGGACCGTTCGGGATCAGAATTTCCGGGGGGATTTTGGCCGATCCCGGGTCATTTTTTGGGGTGAATTTGGGGGATTTTGGCTCACCTGGCCTGGATGGGCAGCAGCTGGTGCTGCACCCGCAGGGGTTTGGGGCCGTTTTGGGTCCATTTTTGGGTCAGTTTTGGGCGATTTTGGGTCCGTTCGGGATCAGAATTTCCGGTGGTTTTTGGGGGGGTTTTGGGCCGTTTTTTGGGGTGAATTCGGGGGATTTTGGGGCCGTTTTTTGGGGTGAATTCGGGGGATTTTGGGGCAGTTTGTGGTCAGCATTTCCAGAGGGGTTTTGGAGGACCCCGGGTCATTTTTTGCGGCAAATTTGGGTAATTTTGGGTCCGTTTTGGGCGATTTTGGGGCCGTTCGGAATCAGAATTTCCAGGGGTTTTCGGGGGGGGTTTGGGCGGTTTTTTGGGGTGAATTCGGGCGATTTTGGCTCACCTGGCCTGGATGGGCAGCAGCTGGTGCTGCAGCAGCGGGTGCTGCACCCGCAGGGGTTTGGGGCCGTTTTTGGGGTGATTTTGGGTCCGTTTTGGGTGATTTTGGGGCCGTTCGGGATCAGGATTTCCGGGGGTTTTTGGGGTGGTTTTGGGCGGTTTTTTGGGGTGAATTTGGGGGATTTTGGCTCACCTGGCCTGGATGGGCAGCAGCTGGTGCTGCAGCAGCGGGTGCTGCACCTCGTGGGGTCCCCAGGGCGCCTGGGGGGGGCCGTAGGTGGGGCCGGCCCCTCCCCCCCCGCTGTAGGGCAGCTCGTAGCCGGCGTGGTAGGGGTCAGCGGCGTGGTCATCCCTGCGGCCGGAGAGAGGTCAGGGGTCACCCAGGGGTCACTCAGGGGTCACTCAGGGGTCACTCAGGGGTCAC